ATGTATATAAGAATCATGTTTCAGGGTTTTCTAGAAGTATTGTGCTCAGCTGCTCAGTCGTATCTGACTCTTTGTGGTCCCATGAACTGTAGCCCACCAGGATCCTCTACCCATAGAATTTTCCAGGCAAGTATACTGGAGTGGGATGCCATTTCCTACCCCAGGAGATCTTCCCAACCCAGGGACTGAACCTGCATTTCTGCATCTTCTGCATTGGCAGGTGGATTCTTTAATACTAGTGCCACCTGGGAAGCCCTCTAGAAGTATAAGTATTAGCATTCTCCAAATTCTAGAAGACAAGAGTCCTGTGATGGGGAAGTTTTGAAGGCAAGACCTGATCATGAACGAATAACTCAGAACACATGGCTAGATTGAAGGCAGGTAGAGTGCCCCTAAGAACATCCCAATTGGCACCTTTCTGAGCCTGTCCAGCTCTAAAATTGGATGATTATGCCCATTGAGAAAGCTGTTAGCAACTTGTTCTCAGCGCTGTGGGAAACAGACAGCAAGTGACTTCAAGAGAGTATGATAATTGGATAATGCCTGATGATGGAGCCTTGGTGAGGAAATGGAACCAGATGACCTCTCTGGGGCCTCCCAGCTTGAACGTATGGGATCCATGTCCACCCTTCAGTCTCTTTTTTTCTCTAGTGAGAGATGGAAGAACCAAGAAGAGAGAGGCAATGCAGAAACCACTGGGGGAGAGGATGCTTTTGTTGTAAGTGCTTAGGTTCACGTGCAAAAATGAAAACCTATTCCTGCAATTACAGTGTGATGCCTTCCCTGACTTCCTTTTGCTTTCCATTGCCCCATTCATATGGAGGCTGCATGTATTACTCTGGATGAATAACCTCAGATGGAAATGGAAAACTAGGACAATATGATCCAGTGGTGGGCTGGGGGTGATGGCAAAGGGAGGCTCCCATGCACACAGATGGTTTCAAAGGGTGGAATTCCCAGGAATAGGGCAGTCATTTCTTTCTTCCTTTTTTTGAAATTTATTTTTTTAGGCAGCCCCATGCAGCACGTGGGATCTTAGCACTGGAGGCACAGTCTTAATCACTGAACCACCAAGGAAGTCCTCTCTCTATTTTTTAAAATTGAAATATCTCCACCTGGAAAATTCCCTGGACAAAGAAGCCTGGTCGGCTACAGCCCATAGGGTCGCAAAGAGTCAGACATGGTTTAGAGTCTGAGCGCTACTATAGTTGATTTATGACATTGAGTAGTTTCTGGTACACAGAAAAGTGTTTCAGTTACACACACACACACACACACACACACACATATTCATTTGCATATTCTTTTCTATATGCTTTACTACAGGATATTGAATATAGTTCCCTCTGCTATACTGTGGGACCTTGTTGTTTATCCATTCTATATGTAGTAGTTTGTATCTGCTAATCCCAAACTCCTAATTTATCCTGCCCACACCCCGTTTCCCCTTTTATAACCCTAAGTTTGTTTTGCAACATCAATACTATTTTCTAAATTTTAGGATATACAATTTTAAGAGAAGTAACAAATGTGGATACCAAACAAACATCAGGTACAAATTTGGTAGAGTTGATGCTCAAACACAGTCCAAGTATACACTGATTGTAACAAACTCAGGTTCAGTGAAAATTAGAGCTAAAATCCTAAGGCACACCACAGACTCATGTAATTTTACGGTTCAGTAACAATACTGATTTACAGACTCACTAGATTTACAGACGTGTTGAAATGTCTCTAATATATATAACAATGATACATATATGTAGTTATTTATAAAAGAGGATCTTTTGGATTTTCTGCAGAAGTAGTCCAATGTATATAAGTGACAGTATCTTAGTAGTTTTTTTTTTTCATTTATCTTTATTAGTTGGAGGGTAGCCACTCTACAATACTGCAGTGGCTCTTGCCACACATTGACATGAATCAGCCATGGATCTACATGTGTTCCCCATCCCAATCCCCCCCTCCCACCTCCCTCCCCACCCCATCCCTTTGGGTCTTCCCAGTGCACCAGCCCCGAGCACTTGTCTCATGCATCCAACCTAGGCTGGTGATCTGTTTCACCCTTGATAATATACATGTTTCGATGCTGTTCTCTCTAAACATCCCACTCTCGCCTTCTCCCACAGAGTCCAAAAGTCTGTTCTGTACATCTGTGTCTCTTTTTCTGTTTTGCATATAGGGTTATTGTTACCATCTTTCTAAATTCCATATATATGTGTTAGTATACTGTATTGGTCTTTATCTTTTTGGCTTACTTCACTCTGTATAATGGGCTCCAGTTTCATTGGTAGGTTTTTTTAATACTAAGAAGACAATGTTATATTGTTTTAGGTTTTGCCAGTTCCCTTATTTTTTATTTTATATTGGGGCACAATTGATTTACAATGTTGTGTTAGTTTCAGGTATACAGCAAAGTGATTCAGTTATACATATACATATATCTATTCTTATTCAATTTTTTTCCCATATAGATTATTGCAAAATATTGAGTAGAGTTCCCTGTGTTCTTCAGTAAGTTCTTGTTCATAATCTGTTATGTATATACACATGTAGTGTGTACATGCTGATCCCAAACCCCTAATTTATCCCTCCCCCTACATGTCTCCTTTGGTAATCATAAGTTGGTTTGCAAAGTCTGTGATGTTTCTGTTTTGTAAATAAGTTCACTTGTATCATCTTTTTAGATTCCACATAAGTTGTTGCTGTTGTTCAGTCACTAAATTGCATCCAACTTTTTATGACACCTTGGATTGCAGCATGCCAGGCTCCCCTGTCCTTCACTATCTCTAAGAGTTTGCTCAAATTCATATCCTTTGAGTTGGTGGTGCTATCTAATCATCTCACCCTCTGCTGACCCCTTTTCCTTTTGCCTTCAATCTTTCCTGGCATCAGGGTCTTTTCCAATGAGTTGGCTCTTCATATCAGGTGGCCAAAGTATTGGAGCTTCAGCTTCAGCATCAGTCCTCCCAGTGAATATTCAGGGTTGATTTCCTTCAGGATTGACTGGTTTGATCTCCATGTTGTCCAAGGGACTCTTAAGAGTCTTCTCTAGCACCACAATTTGAAAGCATCAATTCTTTGGCTCTCGGCCTTCTTTACAGTTTAGCTCTCACATCCATACGTGACTACTGGAAAACCATAGCTTTGACTATACGGACCTTTATCAACAAAGTGATGTCTCTGTTGTCTAGGTTGGTCATAGCTTTCCTTCCAAGGAACAAGCATCTCTTAATTTCATGACTGCAGTCATCGTTCAAGATGATTTTGGAGCCCTAGAAAATCTGTCACTGTTTCCACTTTTCTACCTTCTGTTTGCCATGAAGTGATGGGACTGGATGCCATGTTCTTAGTTTTTCATAAAGTTTTTTTTTTTTTTTTAATAAACATTGGGTGCATGTATTTGCTTTTGATTTAGAGTTTTCTACAGGTACATTCCCAGGAGTGGGATTGCTGGATCATATGACAACTCTATTTTTAGTATTTTAAGGAATCTCTATTTCTGTGATGATGACACTCAAGTTCAAGTTCTCTGAATGGCCTGAGGTCATAGAGCTAAAAAATATCAAAACTGAGTTTAGAACTCAAGTTCAATTCTGTGACTAGCTCATATGGCAAAGTGCACACTAGAAGAAGGTCCATCCTCCAGGAAGATGAAGCCCTGTACCAGGATGCACTGTTTCATGAGCTGAATTCAGTGGTATTCTAGCAAGCCCCCTCAGCCTATCAGCTGAATACCCTTGCACAGTGTGCAACCTGAGCAAACATACATGGTAGCCCTGCCTGAGTTGGTCTTCTAATTCTGTGCTCTTCAAGTCCTGTCATGCGGCCTCCCAGTTGGGTGGAATTGCCTCCTCCATAGATGCTCCTTTCATTTGGTAGTTGGATGAAAATCTTTGAATCACAGAAGGAGTAGAGTTGAGATCATCAATTCCTAGTCCCTCATTTTTCCAGTGAGGAAACTGAAAACCAAAGAGTATCATGATTGCAGAGGACACATCTTGAATCATGAAGAGAAACTGCTGGCTCACTGACCTCCCCACCCAGTTCACTTCCTGCCTAGGAAAGGGCTTGGCTCCACACTGCCTGTCCTCTCTTCCTGGGAATTTTATCCCCAGCCACAAGAACATATGGGTCACTGACAGGCTCTGACTCCTGGCACTGATCAATTTCCTTTCCTTCTCAGAATGGCCGGTGATTTTGGCCCTTATCCACCACCCCTAGGAGTTTACTGAAGTGTCTCTCCTGAGGACACACTGGTGGAAATTTAATGAAAGACTTCTTTCCTGTGTGTTACTCTCAAAGGGCAGAGCCCCCTCCCTGTGTTAGAATTAAATGAGGGAAAGCATTTAGTGACAGTCACATCGGTCCCCACGTGCACTGAAGGACTATTCGCACCCTCTGTCCTCTGCCTGGCCCTCCTGCTTTCAAATACAGGAGGGCTCGATCCCTGCCAGGAAGATCCCCTGGAGGAGGAAATGGCAACCCACTCCAGTATTCTTTCCTGGGAAATCCCATGGACAGAGGAGCCTGGAGGGCTACAGTCCATGGGGTTGCAAAGAATGAACGACTAAGCACACACATAATCTTCTGAGATTTTCATGGTCAGGAGACTAGGGGTGTTGTCAGAGGAGATATTCAGTGTTTAACCCCTGGCAGGATCTAGGCACTGTCCAATCAGAACTGATGCAGGCTGCAGCTAGACAGGGTCCTGGGGATCCCCATGGCTACATGATTAGTGGCTCTGGGGCAGGGCTGCAGGTTGAAAACAGAAATGATTGGGCCTTTGACAAATGGCCTGCCCGTACCCATGCCTCGAAGCTTACTGTCACCCCTGGTTGTTGGTGAGACCTGGATAAGCTCTGATTCAACCCCCACCAGCCACTTTCCCCAAGTCTGGGCCAAGTCCAGTGGAATTGGAGAAGCTGCCCGCGGACCAGGTCAGAATTCCAGATGGAAACGTTCTCTGGGACAGGGCGGGTGCTACTCTCTCCTCTTACCTTTTCACCCCGGTGCCCCGTTGGTGACCCAGCTTTATGGGGCTGCCTATCTTCGCCCACAGCTGCAAGGGGAGCCCTTATCGCCGTGCTGATTACACTTGACAAAGCACAAACACTCATCTTGCTTGCTCTGGCAGGAGGGCACCATGGGCTCTAATTGTTTTATGGGCTTTTCACACTCAGAGAAGAGGGGGAGAGGTGCCAGCAGCACGGATCTATTTCACATTTGCCTCTGTGTCAACCCCTCCCAAGTTCCCAGAACACTTCAGAGCGGTGGAGAGAAAACACCCCGGAACTGGTCTTCCCATTCGGTAGAAAGAAGCAGAGGGCTCCCCTAGAGGCGGACAAAGCACCTGCCCCCACCCCCAACCTTACTGGTCCCCCTGCCAGGTCCGATGATGGGCACTGGGGCTTGCCAGAGCCCAGTCAAATTGGGGAGCTACACAAGCCTCTCATGTGGAGCAGAAAAAAGAATCACCGCTCTAACAGACCTCAGGGCAGCCCTTGAATCAGCAGTCATCTCCTGGTGCTGGCTGTAGCCCAGGAGGGGATGGGATTGAGGGCGGCAGGGAGAGCAAAGGTTCTTCTTCATACTTCCCAGATGAGGAAACTGAGGCCAGGGATGGCAAGGGACTGTCCTTGATGGTGCAGCCAGGCAGTGGAGCTGAGGTCTGAAGACTCAGCTCCGAAAGTCTCCTCTGAGGTCCAGTGTCCGGTCTGCATCTCAGCCTCACTCTAACCCCCTCTCCTCTCCTCTCCCCCTCCTCTCCCTTCCTCTTCTCCAGTCCGTTTCTCTCTTCGTGTGTCTCTTTTTCTCCTTCTGTCTCTGTCTCTCTCTGTCCCTCTCTCTCTGTCTTTTTGTGACCCCTTTCAAGCCAGTGCCCGGGACGGTGAGCACACCTCAGGTCCAAGACTTTCTCCCATTGGCTCCCCTTTGCTATTTTACTATCAACTTGTATACATCATTAACTTTTATCTTGTTGGATCACTTATATCTCTGTACGCTGCCATGAATCCTCTGGGGAACAGAACAGGCAGGGCAGAGATAAATCCATTTAATTTAAAAGTGCCGGGTTAGTTGAAAGCAAAGTTCACCTTTGCAACTGAGAGAGGATTCCACAGCTGCGTGGGTTTCCTGCTGCTTCCCATCACCTGGCTTCTCGCCCCCAAAAGGCTGGACTGAAATTTGCAGTGAAAACACAGATGAATAGAGGGACCTTGAACCAGACCAGAGGTGTGCAAGCTGACCCGTAGAGCCTCTGGGCTTCTGTGCCCCCTGAGGCTGCAACATCCATAGTTTGGTACTCCTGGCTCCCAATTTCCACTGGAGTCTTCTGCTTTTCCTAATTTGTTTATCATGCTGCTGCGTGAGCCTGGAGGAAGATTTCCCACCTAAGGACAGTCTGAAAAGCCATAGAAATAGATAGACTCTAGAGATCTTTCAAGTTCTAAAAATTTGATGATAACTTCCCCCTGGGGACTTTTCATTGGAAGAAAGCAGCATTCAGAGTCACCCTGTGCTCTACAACCTGTCAGGACCCCAAGATCTTTGCAAAGTTAAAGAGTGCACACTCTAAGGGCTAGGCAACGCCCCTGCTCTTTAAGGAATGAGTGTCTCCTTAAGTTTGTGCCCTGCATAAGTTTTTTTTTTTAATTTTTTTTATTAGTTGGAGGCTAATTACTTTATAATATTGTAGTGGTTTTTGTCATACATTGACATGAATCAGCCATGGATATACACGTATTCCCCATCCCGATCCCCCCTCCTACCTCCCTCTCCACCCGATCCCTCTGGGTCTTCCCAGTGCACCAGGTCCGAGCACTTGTCTCACCTGCATAAGCTTTTAACCATTTGTTTTATTGAAATATAGTTGATTTACAATGTTGTGTTAATTTCTGCTGTACAGAAAATGATTCCATTTTACATATATATAAATATTCATTTTCATTATAGTTTATCAAGGATATTGAATACACTTCCCAGTGCTATTCAGTAGGACTTTATTTATCCATTCTCTGTATACTAGTTTGTATCTGCTAACCCCAAACTCCCAATTCATCCCTCTCCCACCACCCCTTCCCCTTGGCAACCACAAGTCCACTCTCTGAGTATGTGAGTCAGTTTCCATTTCACAGGTAAATACATTTTTGTGTCATATTTTAGCTTCCATACGTAAGTGATATCACGTGGTGTTTGTCTTTCTCTGCCTGACTTACTTCACTTAGTATGATCATCTCTAGGTCCATTTATGTTGTCACAAAGGCACCCCACATAGTGCCTGGCTTAGCTTCATTCCTACAACCTGCTTTGATTGCCTTTTTTTTTTTTCCTCTCCTGCATTTTGTTCTTCTGGGTCTTTAAAATGTGCTCAAATCCCACCCATGTTTTGAAAAACAAACACCTCCACTTCAACCTTGACCCCACGCTTCCCTCCAGCTGCCACCCTGCCTCTCTCCCCAGCTTGGGGGCCATACAGCTCCAAAGAGTGGCCCATATGTCCCATTTCTCCTCCTTCCTCAGCCCTGCTGGTCTGGATTCCCCCAACTCTCTCCAACAAGCTGCTTTCACTGTGGTGGCCAGCGTTCTCTATGCTGCTAAACATGTGGATGTGTTTCAGATCTCTCTCCTTCCTGAAACGTCCATCTCCGTTGGCTTGTTCGATGCAGTAGTTTCCTGTCTGTCGTCTCACTTCTCTGGACACTTGCCCTTTGTCCCTTATCTGGCATTAAGTGTCAATGTTTCCCAAAGGTCCTTCCTGCTCTGCTCTTCCTCATCCACCATCTTGCCTTCAGTTACCACCTCTATCCACGTCTTCAAAGTCTCTATCTGTAGCGCAGCCCTCGCTGCTAGATTCCATACCAACACAGAAATTGTCAGAGATGTTACTTTGTCAACAAAGGTCTGTCTGGTCAAAGCTATGGTTTTTCCAGTGGTCATGCATAGATGTGAGAGTTGGACCATAAAGAAAGCTGAGTGCAGAAAAATTGATTCTTTTGAACTGTGGTGCTGGAGAAGACTGGTTGATCCAACTGCTGGAGATCCAACCAGTCCACCCTAAAAGAGATCAGTCCTAGGTGTTCACTGGAAGGACTGATGTTGAAGCTGAAACTCTAGTACTTTGGCCACCTGATGCGAAGAGCTGACTCATTTGAAAAGACCCTATGCTGGGAAAGATTGAGGGCAGGAGGAGAAGGGGATGACAGAGGATGAGATGGTTGGATGGCATCACTGACTCAATGGACATGGGTTTGGGTGGACTCCAGGACTTGGTGATGGACAGGGAGGCCTGGTGTGCTGCGGTACATGGGGTCACAAGGAGTAGGACATGACTGAGTGACTGAACTGAACTGAACCCCTTTTTGGAGGTCTCCAGTGTACCACAAAATCCACATGTTCAAAACTGAACTCAAGATCTCCCTGTCCCCCACTCTCCCCATTACACCCAAATATCTTCTTCTTGTTGTTCAGTCACTCAGTTGTATCCAACATTTTGCGACCCCACGGATTGCAGCATTCCAGGCTTCCTTGTCTTTTACTGTCTCTTGGAGTTTGCTCAAACTCATGTGCATCGAGTCAGTGATGCCATCCAACCATCTCATCCTCTGAAGTCCCCTTCTCCTCCTGCCCTTGATCTTTCCCAGCATCAGGAAATTCTGTTTATTCTGTCATCAGTTTATTCTGTCTTTTCAATGTTGTCTTAACCGAGAGCTGGAAGAATGCAAATGTGCCTGGGTGGGACTGTTATGGAGGGCTGTGTAACCTTTAGTCTTAGAAGGGGAAAGAAATTATTTGTCAAAAATATGACAACACTGTCAAAAATAAATTCAACAAGGTACTTAAGTTGTGAAACATGAGTCAACATTCTAGTCACTCTGAGATGCCACATTCATGAAAAACTTTTCATCAAAACAATTACACGCTATGGTGAAGTCTGTGGATGCCAATACTTGGTGACATGAACAAACTCTGTCACTGCATTCGAGAAGCCTCTGTGTCATCCCCCCGCCCCGCTCCCAGCCCATCTGTGGGGCTCTGCCACTGACTTTCAGGAGAAGCCCCACAGAGGGAGCAAATGAAAGCAAAGTCCTACTTGGTACATGCTGTTCCCACTGCCTGGAATTCTTTTTCCTAATTTTCTCCCCTCTTCGGTCTCTCACCACTCCCTTAACTTGACCTAGTCTTACTTATCCTCTGGTTGTCAAATTTTATTTCCTACAGGAAGACTTCTCAGGATCCCTAAAGTCCCCCAGGTCCTCCCTTACACATCCGTCCTGGTCCTCAAACTTGCCCTTCCAGGCTCTAATGAAGTGATAACTTATGAATTATACCGGGTGGTCTGTGGCCAGTTCAGCATCTCTGTAACTTCTTTCACTGTGGAGAGATGACCAGGGACTGCCATTTCCTAGAATCCCCTCCCCAGGATGGTTCTAGGTTAGAGTTGGCCATTGAGGCACTGGTGGGACATACGGTCCATGGAGAAGAAAGAGAGACGTTGTGCTCCAGAGATGCTGCAGCCAGACTGGTGTGCAGACATGAGGCTGGAAGCAATGCCCAGGTGGGCTTCTTGAGGGGTACCTACATCAGGATTGCAGGCTGGGGTGGCTCCTAGGAGTGTCCCAGTGGCCTCTGGGTGAGCTCCTAAAAACAAGCTCAGCAGGGGTGGCTCCTTGCCTTGCAGCATCAGGCAGACCTTGGATTTCCTACCCTGAATCCCTTCATACTTGGAATATACAGAGTAATTTGTTTTCTTGACAGATTCCTTACTGATACAAAGACTGTGTGTGTGAATAGTGTTACTATCTGTCTTCCTCACAAAAGGTAAGCTCCACATGGTCAGTGGCACCTTGACTTGGGTGGCTGTATCCCCTGACATCAGTCTAAACTGAAACTGAATCCATATCATCCCATTTAACAGATTGGAAGACTGAGCCCCAGGGTGATCATAAGCTCATGATCACAAGCTCATGGCATAGCCACCATCCACCTGTTTCTGAGTTCATTCCTTCTTTGCCAAGAAGGCACTAGAAATGGAAGGAAGCACTTAAATGCAAAACAGCTTTTGAGTGACTATTTCAGGTGTTACCCTCCTCCCTGCAATCAAGATGCTAGTCACACTGAA